CCCCCCCATTATAATACGTAGCGTAATTTTTTGCTGGGTAAGGATTTAAGAGAATAATATTTTGGACGTACATAAAGAAATATATATATCGTTTCTTTTTTCGTTTCTCTATTTCTCGACGAGACAGACATTTCTAGAAATTTGTGATCTGTCGTGAAGCAGCTTCCAGCTAGATTTTTCATGTAATTCCTTTTAAATCTAATCCCAGCAGTATCCCGAGTATCGTGTAATGCTAGCGAATGTTTCTTACGTTCGATTATGGTTTAAGTTCCGAGTCTTAAGTTTAGCTTCGAATTATACTTTTATAGCGATACGTTGACGATGTTTGCGTGCTGATTTGTTCAATTTCGTTCGAACGCGAGGACACCATTTAGTGTTTCTGTGCTAAGAAACAGATCACGATCATTGTAATAATTTTCCAGCATTATTATTTATTTACTGAAATTTGAGTACGCGCATGTGTTTCATAGGTATATAAGAAGACGATTTGTCGGTGTCCTCGCTGTACAAAGCTTAGTATCGTACACTTTGTTACGTTGAAAAATTGTGTGCATGATTGTACCTATGAGCGAGCCGAAAAACTCGATCCGTTTTCTACGTTTCTTTTTTCGTTCTTTTTTTCTTCGTTTTTTCTCTGTAAAACAACGATTCAGCACGAGATCTTATTAAAAATTCTTTCCTTTGTCTCTTTTGTTTTGTTTCGTCGATTTCAACAGCCGACACACGTACAGAGACACAGGTGTCGAATCCAGAATTCGAACTCCGCCATTTGATTGGTAGTCGCGAAGCGCCAAACTTTCGGCCACTCTTCTCGACCAAACTTGTTCATTCGGCTTCGATCACGCAACTTTTTGCAAATCAAAGTATATTTTCTAGTGAAGTAAAACGTGGTCGTTTACATGGTTGCTAATCGGCTAATCGGCTAATCGGCTAATCGGCTAATCCGTCGGAGCGTAGAGAAACGAATCGAAGTCGGATTTTTATCGATACTGCTGCGCTTCTTCCGGTCGAACGGAAATATAGGTTTCGAAAGCGGCGCGAGACAACGCGATTCAACTGGATTCGACATTTAAAATATACGATTGCGCCTGTCTATCCTTAGTTGGTCGTACGTACGTAGGTACATATGTATTGTGTATACGTATACATGTGTATAAAAATATATATTCTATACTTTCGTATCTGTATAACTCCGTATGTCATCATTGCGATGGTAAATTCCTACGATGAACTGGGCAGAAACGTAAAGATTGCGTTCCGACCAAGTTTTCCTTCGACCGTATGCGTGCATGAATCTGAATAGTCGCCGGAAAAAGATATCTCGGATAAATTCTAGTTGACGCAATAACGTTGCAAATCATCTTTGTCGCTTTATTTCTTCGATTCTTTGAAAAAGTGGACACTATCGGATATTTCTTGACGCTCGAGTTAACTTAGCGAGTGGAAAAACGAATCGCGAGGAATTGTTAATAGTGCTTTTTCACGCGACTGTGTGATCACGCTCGCGTACACGGCCGGTACTGTTTGCTTTCAGGAGCTGTCGCCTTGAAATACTTAGAGGAATCGCAAGAAGATGCGCGAAACAGACAATTACGAGAATGAAATTAAGATGTAGAAACGCATATGTATAAGATGTATCGTGAAAATGCTCGCGCAATCCGATCACCTCACTATCTGTGATCCGAGGCTCGTCGTTAACGCGGCGAGTAATACGAACTAAAAATCGATATTAAGCTATTAATGTTATGTAATACAGATTCTCTAAGCGAGAAGCGTTCACGTTCCTAAGCGACGCGTAAAAAGAAAGTCGCACCAGAATTCGACGAACGAACGATACGTTGTCGAGCTTTGGTTTACGATCGAAAGCTAACGAACAACACACCACCGCGATACGAGAAGTTCACCCAACATTCGCGATATACGTGATAGGATTAAGCAAAAGGGTTGGTTGTTTGTGCTTGCGAAAGAAAGAAGCGGCCAGAAACGGCAGATACGACCCGTTCCTAGTCGGTTTATCGTCCTTTACCTTTTTCACTTCTTCGACTTGTACGACAACTGCTTCTTCGTCCTCTTTTTCTCCCACTCCATCGTTTCCTCTTTTTGTTCCACGCTGTTTTGCGAAGATCAAGCGTGAACGCTTCTATGCATCGACGCCACCTTTCTCCCTCTCAGCGAGACTCATCGAGCGAAGATGGTCGAAATGAAAAGACAGTGAACGGAAAAAGGGATGAACATATAGAAACGTGATGAGCAAGCAGATAAAAAAGTACGATCGGGAAACAGAATAGAAACGAAGCAATGGTCCCGCGACACAACACTAATGTATACGATTTTTCAACATGAAAATATTATATATTGTAGCTATACATATAGAGGTATATAAAAGAGAATAGTCCATAGGCAAAAATGTAATAGCTAAGTACATCATTGTAACGACGATACTAACTAGTAAAACGAGATTTATTTTATTATTATCATGGTCGCTGTTGTTTATTATTATTATTAGTATTATTATAATTATTATTGTTATTATTATCATCACTATTATTATTATTATTATTATTATCATTATTATTATTATTATCATCATCATCATCATCGTCGTCATCATCATTATTATTAATGACCACTACCACTACTACGACTACTACTACTACTACTACTACCCCTACTGCTGCTACTACTACTACCCCTACTGCTGCTGATACTACTACCATGACTACTACTACTACTACTACAAGTACTAGAAGTATTACCGCTGGTGATCCTACTGATACTACTATCGTCAACAGCATCACCATCCGTAATAATACTACTGTTACTGTTATTACTATCAAAACTGTTGCTACTACTACGAACGGTGCTGCTATTACTACTACTACTACTACTACTACTGCGACTATTCCTGTTACTGAATCTGTTATTATTAGGTCTGCTCGTGCTGCTATTACTACTGCTAATACTGCTGGTACTACTGTCACCACTATTGCTACCAGCCATGTTACCGCTGCTACTACTGTTATTTCTATGAAAACTATTACTACTACTACGAACGCTGAGGTTACTATTATGAATACTATTCCTGACGCTATTACGAGTGTTCCTGAAAATGCTTCTATTGTTATCATTACGGATATTCCTGCTGCTTATGTTCTTAATACCACTATTTCCATTATGCCTGCTACGACTGCTGATAGTAGTCCTGCCACTATCCTTATTATTGATACCACTGTTGCTTCTACTGCTTCTGCCGTTACTATTACTGCTCCTGCTACCCCATCCGTTTGCCCCTGCTGCTGCGGTTGCAGCTGCTGCTTCTAACACCACTACCACTAGTACTACCACTATTAATTACTACTACTACTACTACTACGACTGTTGCTGCTACTACTATTACTGCTACTACCACCACTACTATCACCACTACTACAACTACTACTACAACTACTACTACAACTGCTACTACTACTGCTACTAGTACTACAACTACTACAACAACTACTACTACTACTGCTACTTCTACTACTTCTACTACTTCTACTACTTCTACTACTACTACTACTACTACTACTACTACTACTTCTACTACTTCTACTGCTACTGTTACTATTACTATCGCCGTTATTATTATCATTACTAATATTATTGATATTTGTGATCTTCGTATTGTGGTGATCGCGTTCCGATTTAATTATTAGGTTCATTTATTATTTTTATTATTATTATTATTACTATTATTGAAATTTATTATTATGCCCAAAACGCGTTGGACGTACCTTTTGAAGACAGAAGAAAGTCGATCAACAGCTAGATAATTTTTATGGATTTATTAACTATTGATTGTCGTGATGAATTGCGGCCCGACGATTTATTACTTAGCACGTAGGAAAAAAGAAAAAAGGATATCCATTTATTGTATAAACGAAGATGAAGCGAAGATGAGAATTACGAGTATCCTGCAGAAGATTAGGTGGTTAAATTCTGTTGTTAAATAATATGTCGCTGGTGAAACTATCGACTGAAGATCGAACATTGAGAAATATTCCCCTTTAATTTATATCCTTTTCTACTCCTAACGCGATTCGTCAATTTGCTATTTATTTATTTATTTATTTGTTAAAATTATATGTATTAAAATTTAGACTACGTTACTTTGTTCACTCAAAGAACTCACAGACAAGACAGTTGTAAGAAAAAGGGAAATTTCATGTCCTCGTCTCAAAAGTCAATCTTCAGCCAATTTTTTCACCAACCATGCGACCAGTACAAGTGCGTTTGGCACAGCTAGTATACGACAAAAGAGCGCCTGAAGTTCGCCGCGAGACCGGCTTCGAGCGTTCCTTAATAAGCTCTACCTAACATTTAATAAAACGAAATGAAAACGAGTCACGAATACGAGATCGATAAGACGAAGTAAAAAAAAAAAAAAAAAAAGAATAAGAAATAACGTTTAACATTTATGGATACACGATATAAGATACTATATATTCATATTCCCCGCTCCCCCTCCGCTCGATCCCTTCCTTCAATCGTCTAACTTTCGTTCAAGATAACCAGAGAAAGAAAAGGTCATCTGTAAAATTTACCGAACCGCACGCCGACGCTGGTTATTATTGCATTTATGTTTCTCGTTGTCGGATGAAATTTCAACTTGCTTTCCTTTCGAAGCGTTTTCGATGACATTCGTTTTCTAATTAATAAAAGGGCAAGAAATCTCGATCATTTCAATAGCGAATCTACAATTTTATAAAGTTACTAAAATTTCGTAATGTGAAAATTTTAAACGTCGCGCTTTTTCGAAACCGATATTCCTTCTTTTTCTTTTCTCGCCAGCTTTCTTAAATATATTCGGAAAATAAATAAATATTTCTAAAAGTTTCAAAAACGGAAAGCAAGTTGAAATCACGTCTCGATATGTACAACAGTATACCACAGAAATCATTGTATCGATTAAAATCATGGTAAACATAATAAAACGCTCAAAAGTAATATCGGTTCGATTTGTACAACTGTTTCACGTTACTCGCATAAAGTATTACCTTTTACATATTCTTTTAGTTCCTTAACGTTTTGAATTATCACGAGTTCTCTACGTGTTTTTTTTTCCTTTTTTTTTTTTTTTTTTTTTTTTTTATAGCAAACAACCAACAGATGCGACTTTGACCACGCTCCGATGAACATCTTATTTTGTAGAGAAAAGTATTTGTTAACGGGGGAATTGATTAGGATTGAATGAAATACGAATGGAGTAAAAATTTATATTTGGGAGGTTACAAGTATATACTACTTAGTTTTCATAAAAAATAAACATTTTTACTAAGCGAAAGCTGCGGGTTCGGAAGGTATCTTGTCGTTTCTATGCGATTATCTTTATATTTCGTATAAAAGGACTTCACGAGGCGTTTGGTGCTGCCATCTGTCGAGCCTCGGATAATATACAAGAAGATGATGGAAAAAAACAATTCAGTGCGCCCTCTCTGAAGTACCTGCACTAATTTCGAAACATCGGAAACGCAGAGATCGCGTATTCGTTAAAAGTGGAAAAACTTTGAAAATTTTAATTAGCCTTCGTAATGTCTTAAGCTTAATTGAAAAACACGAGTATCTTGAAATATTTTAACACATTATTTTATTGGTTTTTTCCTTAAAAAAAGAATGAACTTGAAATTGGTTGTTGGGTTTAAGTTTTGAGAAATAATGGCATTTAAAAGCGACAATACACACTAATTTGCAAATTGAACTAGCTATGTATATATATATAATATTTATATATATATATATTTGTATACATATATATATATATATATATATATATATGTATAAGGTAAGTATCTTTTTCCTCGTTTACTGCATAATACATAAGTAATAATGCATGCTTACGTCTTCGTTTTCATTCTTCCTCTTGCGCTCCCTTTCTTTCTTCGCACTTTCACTCACACATTCATGCTCGACACCGAACCGGTCGTTTTCGCAAATTTCAAAGAATAATCGAGTTTATCCTTTCGTTTCCTCGTTTTTCTTCCTTCTTTCTTTCTAACATACGAGAGTTCCTCACTGGCAGATACGTTCACACACATATAGAATACTTATTTTTCATTTAAAGAAGAGAAATGATACAAACGAATGTTCGCGTCACGACGAACACGCGAAACTGATGCGTGCTTCTTTTAAACTACGAGAATAAATTTTTCGTCAGTCGTGAACGGTGAGAACGTTGTCGCGAATGCGCTTCTTAAGAAATACGTGTCGGCTCGATTTTTTCATCGATAAAAATGGGTCGTTTCGATCGTGAAAGAAAGAACTCGTTCCCGATCGACGAATATTGGTGATACGGCTTCTTCGTTTTGGCTAATCGTCGCCCGTGTTCTCGACGCGACGCGAACGGTGCGCGCGAACAATGAAATACGTATAAAGGTACAATCTGCATTCGACTGCATTCTCTGAGAAAAACAAGTGTTCCTTTGCATTTTCACATATGCATACATCTATGTATATATGTATATATATATATATATATATATGTACATATACATATATATACGCACACATACATACACGCGCGCGCGCGCGCATATGTGTGTATGTATATATGTATAAGTAATATACAGTAAGTTTACAGTAACGCAGAGATTGGCAGGATATTGCGCGAACGAGATATACCCGCGAGATTGTAAGAATATCAAAGAAAGAATTGAATTTGGATGCCCGCGCGCGCGCGCACGTGCCTCAAAACACGAATGTAGTACATCGAGGTAGATTAAACTATACATATATACATATATATACATATACATATACATATATATACATATATATGCATGTATTTATATATATATATTTTTATATTATCATATACGAATGTATTTTTTATCGATCGTCGGTAATAATTTCGCGCAGAATCATCCGCCAATCGTCCGCCATTCACACAACTGGCAGCAACAATTACTGCGTTATATCGCTATATACCCTTTTAAAGTTAGTTTAGTCAAAGTTAAAGCTTTCAATGGTTTTTTTTTTTTCTTTTTACTTATTTTCTCTCCTCTTTTACATAACGTCTGTTTTTTATAACAATGGTACACGCGACTATTAAACGTTTACAGATTTCGTACTCTGTCGCTCGAGCTCGCTAGATTTTTCCGATCTCGCGTATATTCTTGCTCTTTCACTTGCACGCAGGCACACACGCACGCACTTTCGTTCGTTCGTTCGTTCGTTCTGTCGTTTGTTGAAGCAGGCACCGGCTGTCACGTAGCCTGTCATTCATTGCCAGGTTTTCGTCGCTAGGTACGCTCTCGACTCTCATGCACTCATTTTTTTTTCATAGACGCATTCGAGATTCATTGCACGCCTCATTATACACAGCCAGCCATTGTTCGCTTCGCTTTCCGTATCAATTTCTTCTCGATTCGTTCTTCCTTCTTTCTCTTGTTCGAGTTTCCTCCCATGTTGCTCTCTCTCTTTATCTCTCTCTCTCTCTCTCTCTCTCCCTCTCCCTCTCCCTCCTCTCTCTCTTTCGCTGTCACATTCTTTTTGATTTCTTACGTGCGTTCAACACCGAGTCGATACGCTATTGTTCGCCAGCGACGTTGACGCGAAATATAAAGAATGAAGGTTCGCGACGTAGAACGGACGAACGATGGATGGACAAGCGTGGATCGAACGAACGTGCAAGAGGAATAAATAGTATTTCGTAATTCGATGTTTTCCGTGAAGTACATCGTTCGCGAACAACAGCGTACAGTAAGTTTTCTTTACAAGCGATATTGGAACCGGTCGCGATCGCGTTTCCAAACGTTTACACGGAAACACGGTTGCCTCGTACACGGATCAACGTCAATTCGGAAGAAAATTACAGTTGATTAACGAACTGGTTGGAATACGCTACGCTATCGTTAAATCGACGAAAATTGAGAGGTGTTGGCGACGAGGTTCGTATGGAAAATCATCGATGGAATACGTACGTATGTCGTCGAAAGAAAGGAAACGCCACTCGCGACCGGCCGTGTATCCGTCGCGTGTTCGTCGTGACGTTCGACCAGAAGATACGACTGTTCGAATTTCTTCTCTTATAATCTCCGCTCCTCTGTTTTGTTTTGTTTTTTCTTTTTTTTTCTGTTTTTTTTTTTGTTCGTTCGCGTATCCTAGTTTTGTGAACGTGTAATATTAAGGCAACTCTTGTTACTATTTAATGATTTATCGCGATTTTTCCCCTTTCCTATCGCTCTTTCTTTTACTACCGTTCACCCTCCTCCTCGATATTCCGAAAGGATACCAGCCTTTGTCTTGACGCGAGCTACGCAAAGCTTTCTCGCTCTCTCTCTCTCTCTCTCTCTCTCTCTCTCTCTCTCTCTCTCTCTCTCTCTCTCTCGAAAATACATTTACGCTCTTTTCTGTACATAGTATGTTTTAGCATTCTCGTGACGCGAAACCGTCTAGTCGAGCGACATCTGGATACAAAGTTTCAGCGAAATAACGTCGACGAACAAACGCGATACCGCGACGGTCGCGCGATCGTTTAACCCTTTGAGAGGAAATCGGAGTGTCGAGATGCTTAGCAGCGATTCTACAGCGAAGAAACGAGGTTTAAATCGAGAAACGATCAGCTTTCTTTTTCGTCGTTTTCTTTCCTACTATATGCTACGAGTACGGCGTTGGCAAAACAATCCCTGTGCTTCTCAAAGAGTCAAAAATCGGAAGGGTCGATCGCTCGACTCGACGGAGCGGACGTTGGTCCGCGCCACGCTGATTCGACTCGCAGCGCGAAACCGATGCTGGAAAATGCGTCGACTGGTCAAACCCGAACAAATACATCGACATGCACGTACATCCGTCGCGTTAAATGGTCGCTCCGATTCGTTCGAACCGCGCGGGCTGCAAAAGGCGCCTGATCAGACGAAGATTCAGACTCGGATCGACACGAATGTTCTCTTCTTAAACCGTTCAAATATATTTATACGTCTATTTTATACATAGAGAGATCGGTGTGTAATAGTGTATCGACGGGATTTCGATTATTTGCAAAAGTATGAAACTCTACGGAGCTCGTCGGCTCGTCCAACAGCCGAGAGGTCTAGTGACGAACTTTTATTTCTTTTATATCTTTTCTTTCTCGTGATTATTTATTATCAACGGGGCATTTAGTATCGATATACGCTTTCATTATTCGTTCGTACTCGCTTAGTATGCATATATTTATACATATATACGTATCCATGTACTTATGTGTAAATATATACATGTAAAATGCATATACGCGTTATCTTTTACGTGTACATATTTATACGTGTATATTGTTCATATGTATATGTATATGTATGTATATGTACATACACAACACTACATATGCGTATATATACATACATATGTATATGTATATACAACACACACCCACACACACATGCATAATATGCATAGATAAGTAGAAAAACTCTTAATCGTAGTATTTACGTGTTATCTCGTTCGACGCCCTCCTATCATCGTCGTTTGTTATATCCTTTGTTCGCTTAGCGTTATTAGAAATAAACACAAACAATGAAATTATATATAGATTCTCTGGTTTTCACGATCGACCAAATAAATGACGCTTCCAAGTGTCTGCTGCCTGGAAACCGATGGAAATACACAATCCGATCGCGAGTTCACGTTACTCTGCGTAGTTTCTTTAATCGCTAACGCGGTTTCTACGAACGAGCCGAGAAGTGTCTTTACGTGTCATTACGTTTATTACAAATTCAGCCCGAACGAGATCACGGGCCTCGCGTGTCTCATCGCTGTCTTTAGCCTTTCCCTTTTCACCAGTGTCCATCTCTATCCTCCTATCTCCTTTTATCTCCTTCCATCTCCTTCCATCTCCTTCCATCTCCTTCTATCTCCTTTGTCCCTTTTGTTCGTTAGCATTCGTCGTTTCTTCTCTCTTACTCGCACTCGCTTTCCCGCTTTCCTCTACTTTTCTTCCCTTCATGCTCATCCAATAACGATCGGACCATTTTACACGCGCCTCGTCGAATATAGCTGTACCCGTCGTTATCGGATAATCACGATTCTCGAGCACCGCTTTCAACGATTGACGGAACAAGCTCGTGCTAATCCATGCCTCGAATAGAACTCGATCTTTGGATCGACGACAGGGATTCGTGCGTTTATAGTACGAATAGATGTTTAACTTTGACGACTAGATAGCTGGCAAACGGCAAACGTTTTACGATTAATCCCAACGCGTAACGCTCGCTAACACCCTCGTGTACACCCGTTTCGTAAAACTGAACCACGCGTAGCTGAATTTCACGAAATGCGAATAGAAAGATAGAATAAATTGGAAAAATTGATAATTTGACCGATTTTAACGTCTACTTGGACTTGTTAGCAGTATCGAATCCATCTAAATGTTCCATCGTTCTTTCGTAAAACGTTCAAATGCCATTTTCGAGATCCCCGTTGTTTTCAACACGTTCCGTCGTCTTTCCTCTCTGCTTCCATTCCACTACGCTGATCAGCATCCGTTGTTCGCGCCTACTATTCTCGCTTCGTTACCGACCACTTGTTATCTCAACTCGCAGCGTTCTGCTGTTCTTGTACACTGCTTCGTACACCGCTTCGTACACTGTTTCGTACACTGCTTCGTACACTGCTTCGTATACTGCGAGACAGGGATCGAGAAAGTTGTTCGAATCGTGCGTCACTTATCGTTACAAGTATCGTTCTCAAGCATCGTGATCAATATTATCAACGTTATCGTTATTACTATGTTATTATCGTTATTAACCGTTCATTAACCTAGCTTGCATCGTAGTTATTTATATGTATGTATGTATGGATGTATATATTTATACTTATTATGTATATTTATACGTACACTCTTGAATTACAACTAACCCCCCGCCCCCTCCCTCCCCACACACACACACGTACGTATGTGCGCGCGCGTGTGTGCAGTGTATATTTATATCTCAATTTATACCTATATTCATATTTTATTTATATTTATATTTACTTGTTTGTCGTTTACGCTAAGTCATCGTTAAGAGCTTGGTCATATGCTTTGCCTTTACGATGCTAAAGAGTTTTGTAAGTTTGAAGATTTCGACTTGTATCGCTCACGCGCACGCGAAAGTTGATCTTATTTTTCGTCTTCTCTCTCTCTCTCTCTCTCTCTCTCTCTCTCTTCATCTCTTTCGCCCTCTCTCTCTCTCTCTCTCTCTCGTTCTCTCTTTCTCTCTCTCTCTCTCTCTCTCCCCCTTTGTCCAACCCTCGGCAGTCGATCTTTTTAGCACTTTCTTCCCTTTCTTTCGCAATCTTCCATTCATTCGCTCAGATACTCTACTTTTCGTTCGTTACACTTCCTCGCGCTTTCTTACTCGACATTGGTACAAACACATTTTGGAGCTAGAAAATTGTTTATCGACGCAACGCCATCGTCGATCTGGCTAGATTCTTTGGATTTATCACAGAAAAACAGTTTCAATAATATTCCATTTTACTTCACTCGCGCGTCTTGGGATACGTTTTCTAACACTTTCGTATCCGTGAAGCATGCAAACGTGAAATTCAATGCTTCTTCGATAACTTGCGATAACGTGTAAATTAGAAAATAAAAGTAAGCTTCCGTAAGGTATAACGAAAATGAAATATTTAATATTTATAATTAGGCAAATAAATATAAAGACAATGGTGGCGGATAAAGAAAAGTAAAGCGCAATTTTTGAACGCAATAAATAAAGTAAGAAGAAAAGAAGGAGGGATAAACATCTTCTTGGATAAGAAAAACGAAAGCGGAAGTGTTAGAACGATCTTCCATTTCGTTCCTTGTTTCGAGGAGTGTAAACGTTGGCATGCCCGAGTATCCGAAATTCCCACGCATTCGTTCGTTTCTTCTCTTTTCCTTTTTATTATATTTATGCATTCTCTTTACAGCGACGTTTAAACGTGACGATACGAAATACGATTGAGTTTATAAAGCACTTAAGGGAAAAAATCACGCTCAGCACGCTCGACTGCACATCGTAAAACTCACCCTCGCGAGATTCTCGATGCTTTTTTCATAGTTTTATACGCTTTTTTCCTTCTTTAATTCGTATATATTATTTTATTTTCCGCTTCCCTATCTTTTTACCGTAATGGCACTTTCTTCGGCATTGTAGAGCGTAATTAAATATCTATAACACGAACGTGAATGTGCCTCCTGTTTCGTTTCGATGTCGATCTCAACTCGTCAGTTCGATCGTTCTTCTCGATTCTTTCGACCGATGTAAAAACCGCCAATAAAAAAGTCGAAGGAGAAAAATAGAAAGAATGATAAACACGCTATATCCAATGGAAAACGAAGATGTTCGATCACCGAGAACCTCGAGCCACGAGAACCGTTCGCGTATTGTCCACGTATCTATCGTCTTTCCTTTTCCTCGTCTTTCGCTCCGCCTCTTTTTCTCTCACGTTCTTCCCGATCCTTAGATACTTACATTAATTATACGATAGTATTACATAGTTGCACATGTTCAGTCGAAATCCACGCACGCAGATTACGCAGACAAGCGTGAAGTGGCATTGAAATATGATTTTTGAACCATCTTTTTTTCTCCTTTTTTTTTTCCGGTTGCTTTTGCTTCGCGAGACTTTTACCTCCATTCATCCTGCTTTCGTTCACAGTCACGCATTCTCCCTTTCTCACGCTCCATCACACCACCCTCGACGTATTTTTTTTTTTTTTCTTATTTACATCTATCTACGCATAGATGCCTGTGTGTATACGTGCTGTGAAAAAAGACGCATGTTATTTTTATGTACATTCACGTATCTCGCGTGTGTTTCTGCTTAAAACACTCCGTATGATTGGCAGTATGTTATACGTGTTTTTCATCTTCTTCCATTCCGCTTGAAATTCTCTTGTTTCTATAATTACATAATTCCGACTATCCGCGCACTTTTATTTAGCGATCGTCCCTCTTATATGTAACATATGCGCATACGTGTATATGTTATGTATACATGTGTACATGCTTCTTCCGGCCACTATTGTTTTGCCTTATTCCTTCGTTTAAGCGCATTATGGAATTCGAAATGACCTTTGTTCGTTCGCTTCAATTATTTTTTTTTCTCGCTTTTTTTCTTCTAATGCATTTGTACGTCGAGTACGTATGACTGACGGTTAATCGATCGATCGATGTATCTTCTCCACCTTGCACCGAAGAACGACGATTACGATAAACTATACAGTTTTAATGGTAGTCATAACGGTACTAACAATGCATTTGATTTAATAAAACGTTTCAGTATTCGTAACGTTAGTAAAAGTAGTAATAATAATGCTATCAGTAATAGTAACCATAGTCGTAATGTAGTTAGTAGTAATAGCAGCGATAGTAATAACAGTAGTAGTGGTACTTGTAATAACAGCAGTAGTGGTGGTAGTAGTAGTAGTAGTAGTGGTAGTAGTAGTAGTAGTAGTAGTAGTGGTAGTAGTAGTAGTAGTAGCAGTAACAGTAGTAGTGGTAGTAGTAGTAGTAGTAATAGTAGTAGTAGTGGTAGTAGTAGTAGTAGTAGTAGTAGTAGTAGTAGTAGTAGTAGTAATAGTAGTAGTAGTAGTAGTAGTAGTAGTAGTAGTAGTAGTAGTAGTAGTAGTAGTAATAGTAATAGTAATAGTAGTAATAGTAGTAGTGGTGGTGGTAGTGGTGGTGGTGGTAGTAGTAGTAGTGGTGGTGGTAGTGGTGGTGGTGGTAGTAGTAGTAGTGGTGGTGGTAGTAGTAGTAGTAGTGGTAGTAGTAGTGGTAGTAGTGATAGCAGTAGTGGTAGTAGTGGTAGTAGTAGCGGTAGTAGTGGTAGTAATGGTGGTAGTAATAGTAGTAGTAGTAGTAGTGTTAGTAGTAGTAGTAGTAGCAGTAATAGTAGTGATAGTAATAGCAGTAGTAGTAGTAGTAGTAGTAGTAGTAGTAGTGGTAGTAGTAGTAGTAGTAGTAGTAGTAGTAGTAGTAGTAGTAGTAGTAGTAGTAGTAGTAGTAGTAGTAGTAGTAGTAGTAGTAGTAGTAGTAGTAGTAGTAGTAGTAGTAGTAGTAGTAGTAGTAGTAGTAGTAGTAGTAGTAGTAGTAGCAGTAGTAGCAACAGCGGCAGCAGCGGCAGCAGCGGTAGTGGTGGTAGTAGTGGTAGCGGTAGTGGTAGTGGTAGTAGTAATAGTAATAGTAGTATAGTATAGTATAGTAGATTAGTAGTAGCAGTAGTAGTAATATTAGTAGTAGCAGTAGTGGTAGTAGTAGTGATAGTAAGTAGTGAAGCAGCAGCAGCAGCAGCGACAGTAGAGGCGGCGGTGTTTGGTGGTGGTAATGGTATTTAATAACACTGGTAATAGTAATTGCAGTGGTAAATAGTAATAGTAGCGGTATTATCGACGGCGGTAATAAATTGTAATAGTAATAGTAATAGCGATAATAGTGATAGTATTAGTAAGTTACAGCAGTAGTCGTAGTTATAGTAGTCGCGGTAATAATAGTAGTGGAATAGTTTCTTTTCTCGTAGATGGCGACAGTAACGGTAGTAGCAGCGATGGTAAACGTTTTTAAAGTTAAAATTATGCGATAATTTACATATGCTCGTGAATTTTGTCGCCTCTGCACTTGCTCCTTTTCGAGAAGAAGGCGAACATGGCGCTCTCCGCCGCTCCGTTATTTCGCTAGATTTTTTTCATTTTCTTTCCGTGGTTTCTTCTTTCAACGATCGATCGTGATAAATGGTCCATTTTTCCCTTTCCTTTCCGTCGACTTCTTATTGGCACGAGCTACGAGAATACGGAACAACGACACCGCGATCGTTCATTTCGACGTTGTTCGTTTCTTTTTGTTTTCTTCTCGCGAGCAAAGTCTCGTTCGCCGGTCCTTCGTTCGTTCGTTCGTTTATGCGTTCAACGCAGTACGCACCGCGTGTTTCTTTCGTTTAAGCGTTTTAACGGAGGATCGGTGGTCGCGATCGCGACAAAGCAGCCAGCAGTCGCGAGCCACGAATGCTTCTTACGATGGAAGAGAATCGAAACGATCTTGACGATTTAGTAAAAATTCCTACGTATTTAGTTCGATGTATCGTTTAGCATGTATATCTTCGAGTACCTCCTTTTTTTTTTTTACTTTTTTTTTAACAGCTACCCCTCTATCAGCAACCGATTATTTGCATAATTTTAGCAACGGTATCTTTTTTTTTTTCCTCGTGTTCGATACATTTTTATAGGGTGATCGTGCTTCGTTTTTTACGCAACGCTGTCGGCTGGTCGTAAATCTTCGCGAAAGTAAACTAAAGAGAGAACGTTGCACCGGCGCAAGAACCGCGGCTACCAATTTGCAAACGTACGAGATATCGGATGTTCGTAGCCACGGTTCTTGTTGCATTTCTCATCCGCTTTTCCGATACGCTTCTTTCTTTCTTGCCCGCGGCTTGATCAACGATAGAACGGACCTGTAAGAAATTTCGATAGGTTCGATCGAGATGTTTGCCTACTCGTTCGGCAAATCGAACGCTACTGCGACGAGAGATATTCCGAGCGAAATCGAACCAACTGCGCGTTAACAGTGACTCGCGAAGAAGAACTTGTGCCTCGTGGACTATATCGCATCGAACGTATCGAACGGTGCCTTTTTCCTACGCCTATACGATTATATCTCGTTTAATTTTTTTGCACGTACGAAAACGCTTTACTCGTCAGACGAAATTCGTTCCCGTTGATCGATTCCGCCTGTTGGTTCGCATCGAGAACCTCCCTGACAAGTCGCTCGAGTTGGGCGCAGCTTATAGAAAAATCAAGAAGAGGAGATGTTTCGTTGGCGAAGGCGCCTTCGCATCGCCGATCAGTTCCTCCAAACGTGGGGAGACACGTGGAAACTCGCTGTATCCGAGTCGGTGAGAGGGCGTCGCGTAGGGCGCGACTGTTCGATACAGCCGTGAAGAATTTGGTAGATTCGCGCGGAGAGGGATCCGAAGCGAACGCGCTCAATCGTACAAGAGCGCTTCCCTCGTCGTATAATTCATGGTATAAAAAGTGGATCCTCCTCGGCTCGGTCCGTCGATTAAAAAGCACAGCGAAGGAAGCCTCGGAGTTCGAGACGAAAGAAAAGTTCAGAAAGTTCCCACGAATGGTAACTCCGACGACGCTTCAACTTCTTCCTAAGAATACTGCACGACAGGCGGAGAT